CAATCTTCTCACTGCCCTTCATCCACCTCAAATCTACACCATCTTCCTTACCTAGCCTAAATTCTACTTTGTAACTGTTCCTTCACCGACATCCTTGACTCATTCATGCCTCTCTTACTTTGTCCTCCTCACCTGGCAAAACCACAATCCTTGTTAAATCTAGTTATCTACCTGCACCCCTGTACCTGACTGTGGCTAAAGAAATCCACACAATTGTGCTGACTAACTTTAAATTTGAATTACTCACTGTAAGTGAGCTTCAATGTGACTTGGTAATTATACCACATTTTCCTTAAGTCATTACTCTTTTACTCTCCTTAATGACTATGTCATACTTTCTCCAACCTCCTCAACCTCAATTAACACTAATTATCTTAATTTGCCCCTCCAGTGAGAAAATCGGGCAATCAAAAGAAAACTATCACAAGTCTCCTCTGCCACTTTTATGCACTTATTATCTCTGACCCCAAAGACTCTGCCCTCATCCCATTACTATGAAGAACTGTCCACAGGGTCTGAAAAGACCCTTCCTCTACTTGTGAACTAGGATCATATCCCCTCTCACCAGCTCAATACTGCTCCACCAATTCTTTTGTTCTATTAATTTTACCTGTCTGCTGGATCTTATCCATCAGCATGCAAACCTACTATTTTTTCTGCAATATTTTTTAAAGGTCAAGCCCACCTCCTCACCATGGCTACCTCTCTGTTCCTCTCATCCTGAGTCAGTCAGTTCAGTCGCTTAGTCATATCCGACTCTTTGTGACTCCACGGACTGCAGCATGCCAGGCCTTCCTGTCCATCACCAACTACCAGAGCCTACTCAAGCTCATGTCCATCACATCGGTGATGCCATCCAACCATTTCATCCTCTGTTGTCCCCTTCTCCTGCCTTCAATCTTGCCCAGCATCAGGGTCTTTGCCACTGAGTCAATTATTCGCATCAGGTGGCCAAAGTATTGGAGTTTCAGCTTCAGCATCAGTTCTTCCAACGAATACCCAGGACTGATCTCCTTTAGGATAGACTGGCTGGATCTCCTTGCAGCCCAAGGGACTCTCAAGAGTCTTCTCCAGCACCACAGTTTAAAAGCATCAATTCTTTGGCGCTCAGCTTTTACAGTCCAACTCTCACATCCATACATGATGACTGGAAAGACCCTAGCTTTGACTAGACAGAACTTTGTTGGTAAAGTAATGTCTCTGCTTTTTAATAAGCAGTCTAGGTTGGTCATAACTTCTCTTCCAAGGAGCAAGCGTCTTTTAATTTCATTACTGCAGTCATCATCTGCAGTGATTTTGGAGCCCAAAAAAATAGTCTCTCACTGTTTCCATTGTTTCCCCATCTATTTGCCATGATCTTAGTTGTCTGAATGTTGAGTTTTAAGCCAACTTTTTCACTCTCCTCTTTCACTTTCATCAAGAGGGTCTTTAGTTCTTCACTTTCTGCCACAAGGGTGGTGTCATCTGTGTATCTGAGGTTATTGATATTTTTCCCAGCAATCTTGATTTCAGCTTGTGCTTCATCCAGCCCAGCATTTCGCATGATGTACTCTGCTATATATAAGCTAAATAAGCAGGGTGACAATATACAGCCTCTCATCCTATTTAAAGCTATATTCCTCAGAAGAGTATCTATACTCACTGTCACCAATTCCTACCCTCTTACTCTCTTGAACCATGCCAACCAAGCTTTCACCCCACCACTTCTCTAAAACAACTCATGTACCAATGACTCTTACTCTTGACATCAATTAATCCTCAGTCCTCATCTTACTTGACCTTCAGCAACATCTGACACCATGACTGCTTCCTCCTCCTTGAACTACTTTCTTCATGTGGCTTCAGAGCATCTCATTTCTCTGTCCCACTGCAGCTCCTTGGGCTTCTTACTGACCTCTTCTGAAAGAAGAGCCCCAGAGTTTAGTCTTTGGATTTCACTTTTTCTTGGTGGTCTGTTTTGCTGGTCTCTTTCAGTTTTATCACTTCAAACAAATACACACTGTCAACTGCATATTTCTCCAGCTCTGGCCTCTCCCAACTCCAGACTCATTTATCAGTCTACTCAAGATCTCCACTTGGATATCTAACAGACATCTCAAATTTAACATGTCCATCACTGAACTTCTGTTCTTTTCCTCACACTCAGATCCAGTCTGTCAGCCAATTCCTAGGAGTAATTCATCAAGGTTCCCCTAGCTTCTGGGAAGCTACAACCATTCTGAGGTATGGCTCAGTGGAGATAGGTGAGAAACAGGGCTTACAGGATATGTGGGTCATTTGGCGTGGGGGGAATGGAGGTAGAAGGGCAGTTAGGTGGAGGGCGGAGGCTAGGACACAGGGAAAGAAGAGGGAAGAAAAATAATCCCAATCCTCTGCTGCCTAAAGTTAACCATTGTCAAAGCTTCAGTAACTTCTTTCAAGTTACTGAAGAAGTAACTCTTTTCCAAGTCCGAATAAACTTGGATTCTCAGAGAACTACCTTGTGCTCAGGGTTCACTGAAACAAAGGTACAGCAGGAAAAGCTGCCATTTTATTGCTTCCCTAAGACTTGCTCACAGGATCCCTCACATAAATACATTTGAAGAAACAAGCAATTCACCCCTGAGAATAGGTGTGACACTTTGTCAAGGCTGGTTCTTCCCAGCTGCAATCTGGGGGTTACTGAAATTGTTACTGAAATGCAAGTTTCTGTGCGCAAGACAAAGAGGGGCCAAACAATAACAAAACATCAGAATAAATTCAGAGAGAAGTTTATTACAGGGCCCTGCAAGGAGACGGTTAGCTCATGCCTGAAAAATCCCAAATTCCCATAAGCTTTCAGCAAAGCCCTTTTATAGGAAAGGTAAGAGAGGGTGTAGTTATCGTTGCAAACTTCTTAGTGTCAGATCCTTTTTTCTTGAGGTAAGGTCATGGTCAGGTAATGAAGTTCCTGTAACCTCCACCAAAACAAATGTTAATTCTCTGTTCTGACAAGAAAGGGCAAAGTCCCAAGACACAACATTCACCCTCCCAGATCCTGGCTAAGAGGAGGTAGATCTCAGTTGGCAGTTCCCCTCAGGGCCAGGTCCCCAGACAGTGGCCAGCTGTCATCGCTGAGGGAGCCAGGCACCACCCAACTGACCCTTAGGCTGCCCAGAGGGTGAAGTCTCACAGAATGTGACCCAGACAGACTGCCGCTGCTATTAGGTCATAGAGACAGGAGTTGGGGAAGAGGTTCACCACTGCCTCAAGGCCTGGGCCCACCCAGTGCGTGGTCTTGGCGAAAGCTCTAGAGCCCAGCAGAACACAGCCCCCTAATCTGTTTCCTGGGCTCCCCAGCTCACCTGCTGGCCTGAGGCTGGGTGAACTGGAGGACCCCAGGGAGACCAGGGATCTGACTCTCACCTCACTGTCCACCTGACCACCACCACTTTGCTGACTGTTGGCCAAATAGCCCACTAACTGTCACTCATTGACAGTTGGTTGCTTGTGGGAGGAGCTCACTGTGGTGCCAACCAATGGCTGAGCAGGACCACTAACAGGTCCTGCAATAACTGTTGCCTGGAAATAAAGTGTGGGGGTCATGGCATACAGCCAGGGCTATGTGTTAAGAGCTGCACTCAGCCACACTCTGTTACCGTTCTCAAGACAGTTACTGGTTCTCAAGATTGGACCTTCTTGGATAGGGCCAATGATGGGTAACTGAAGGCAAGGACAGGCTAGGAATCCAGCTTGAATAAGGAACACTCTGGCCTAATGAGGAAAACAGGACAAATGTGAAAGATCAGTCATTCGCCTGGAAAGAAATGGGAGCCAACAATATAGCAGGGCTGACTGGGAAAGGGCAGGATTTCAAGTACAGCCTGAGAATACATACAGTTTTGGTAAAAATTCTGCTACAAAAGCAGAAGATCCATCAGAGGAACTGAATAGTTGGTTACCTCAGAAGTTGTTTATTGTTTTTATATGCTTTCTTATGCTTTCTACCTCTGGGTGGCATGGAGGAAAAGGTGTTAGGCATCTACTAATGCCAGTCAATGTTCAAAGTGCTTCACATCCATTATTTTACTTAATCCTGAAAAGTTTATGAGGCAGACTTAATTCCTGTAAGTTCCAGGGGACCCCAGAAAGGAAGTATAGTTGAACTTTCTTGTGTATGTTGAGCTACCACGGCAGCAGTACATGGCTTGTCTTCCAAAGGGTGCGGTGCTGGAAAAAGGAATGCTACCTGAACTGTGTGGTCAAAGAAGAGGGCAGTGGTGGTGCAGTGGGGTGCAGGTGTTACTGAATCACAAGCCCATGTACCCGATGCATAGTGAGGCCAATTAATGCTAACCACTAGAGTCTGGAACAGAGAAAGAGGTTTATTACAGGTTCATGCAAGGTGGTGGGTGGCTCATGCTCTAAGAACCCCAAAGTTACTGAAAGCTTTCAGCAGCCCCTTTAAAAGCAAAAGGTGAGAGAGGGGCATGGTTAGTTGCTACAAACTTATTGGTGTCAGGTCCTTTATTCTTGAGGTCAGGTCATGGTCAGGTAATGCTGCTCCTCTAAATCTCTACCAAAGAAATGGCATTCTCTGTCTTGACAGGAAAGGGCAAGGTCCCAAGGAACAACTTTCACTCTCCAAGGTCCCAGTCCTGGCTAAGAGGAGGCAGATCTCCGTTGGCAGTTCCTTCACAGCTAGTTTCCCATACCCTGCCCAGCTGTTATCCCTGAGGGAATCAGGCACCAAAGCAACTAGCCCTCAGTCTCCTCAAGTCACCCAAAAGGCAGGGGCCAGGTTCCACAAACTGACACCCAGGCAGATGACCACTGCCATTAGGTCACAAAAACAGGGATGGAGGAAGGGATTCACCACTGCCTCAAAGCCGGACCAGAGCGAGTGAAGGGCCTTAGTGAGGACTCTGGAGCCTTGCAGGGCATAGTCCCCAGTCTGTCTCCTGGGCCCTTCAGTTCACCTGCTGGTCCAAGGCCAGGTGAGCTGGAGGGCCTTCAAGAGAAGGCCTGAATATGCCTCTTACCTCACTCTCCACTTGAGGACCACCACACCACTGACCCTTTGCTGAATCGCTTCCCTAATGGTGCCTCACATACAGTTACTTGTGGGCAGGGCCCACTGTGATGCTGACCAATAGCTGAGCAGGACAACTAACCATCACTCACTGACAGTTGGTTGCTTGTGGGTAGGGCCCACTGAGGCACCGACCAACAGCAGAGCCCAGTAACATGGTGTGGAGTAATGAGGCCCAGCAATGGCTGCCTGCTAAGGCCTGTGCTCATCCTGCTCTGTTATACAGGGTTGGTGTGTACCGGCTAGGATGTGTAGGGAGAAGGTATGGTCAGTGCCTTGGGAAAGCATTCTTCAATCTGTGATTGTTGAATCCTATAAATTTGTAACAGTGTGGCAAACGCAGACCATAGTACACAGCCTTTCCTATGCACCATTACCTCACCCCTACCCCATTAGCAGGCATCAGTTACCACGGGACCATTAGTGGTCCTGCTCACCCGTTGGTTAGCACCACAGTGAGTCCCTCCCACAAGCAACCACTATCAGTGAGTGACAGTTAGTGGGCTATTCAGCCGACAGTCAGCACAGTGGCGGTGGTTAGGTGGACAGTGAGGTAAGAGGCAGATCCCTGGTCTCCCAGGGGACCTCCAGCTCACCCAGCTCAGGCCAGCAGGACACAGCCCCCTGCAGGGCTCCAGAGCCCTTGCCAAGGCCACCCACTGGCTGGGCCCAGGCCTTGAAATCATCAACCAAGCTAAATAATCTACCCATTACCTAATATAATACATAGTTACCTTTCTTATGTGTGGTGAGAACACTTAAGATCTACACTCTTAGCAAATTTCAACTAGGTACACAATTCAGTATTGTTAACTACAGTCACACTGCTGTACCATAACTGAACTTGATCTTGGTAGGGGTTATACAAGTATATACATACATTAAACTATTTGTTTTTGCTGTTTAGTTACCAAGTCATGTCCAATTCTTGAGCAACACCATGGACTATAACCCACCAGGCTCCTCTACAATTAACTTTGTGGATCTTTGTAAACTGTAATACCTTTCTAAAAATAATGAATTGATTAGAACTATGTATAAAGGATATGGAAAGGTGTCCTTTTTAATAATTTTTAGTTGAACCTCTGAAATACTCTTATATTGAGTGCCATAGAGATTTTAAAATATTAACTTTTTAATAACTTGTCCTTGGTATATTTCATGTATCACATAATTTATCCATTTAAAGTGTATAATTCAATAATTATTAGTAAATTTGCCAAGTTGTAAATCATCACCATTAAGTCAGTTTTAGAACATTTTCATTAAACTAAAGAAGGCCCTCATGCCCCTTTACTGTTAATCTATTTTCCTACTCCTGTTCCAAACAAGCAGTAATCTATCTGCCCCCTATGGTCCCAGATTTGCTCTTTCTGGACATTCATCTAAATGGTACCATACATTGTGTGGTCTCTGCATCTTGCTTCTTTCTTTCCCTTAGCACAATGTTTGTCAAGTTTGTGCATGTCATGGCACGTATAAGTAGTTTGTTCCTTTTTACAGTTTACTAGTTTCCTATTACATGAATATACTACATTTTGTCTGACTCATCAGGTGATGACACAAATATTAACTTTTTGCAACATTCCTATCCACAAATACAGTTAAAGCATCATCTACCATTCTCATCCCATTTTCCTCCCCTTTCAGGAGTCACCATTGTCTTGAGGTTGGTGTGCAGCCCTTCCCTTTGTGCTTTTATACAGTTAATACATACAAATATACCCATGACAAAATATAGATTTTTGTATTTTTAACATTGCCATATCTGGTTTACTATATGTAATATTTTTCAACTTGCTTTTTTTACTCACAATTATATGTTTAAGGTTTGCTCGTTTTGTCTCAAGTAGATTTGATTCATTCATTTTAACTGCTATAATATTCTCCAAATACAAATATGTCATAATTTATCTATTCCCCCTATTGATGACCATTTAAGTTTTCAATATATTTCTACCATAAAAAATCATATAAACATTTTTTATTATGTCTCCTTGTGCACATGTGATAATTTCTCTACATTATCTAAGTAAAAGTGACACTGCTGGTTCCTAGTGTATGAATACCCTCCACTTACTTTTACCACAAGAGCTTTTGTTTCCCGACATGCTCACCAACACTTGCTATTATTCACCTTTAAAATTTTTCTGCCAGTCTCACATATGAAATGGCATCTCATGGTTTTGATTTTAATCTCCTTGATTTTTAATCCTGTAGTCTTTTCACATGGTGGTTATTTTAATTTCTTCTTTTGTGACTTGCTATTTAATATTTTGGTCTATTTTTCTACTTATTTCTTTCAGTTTCCTTATTATTCTAGATCTTAGACCTTGCCAAATTTTTCCTTCAATCTGATCATTTTGTTTATAGGGTTTTTTTTTTTTTTTGCCATATCAAAATTTTAAACGTTAGTGAGGTCAAATCAAGTCTTTTACCTCATGATTTGTGCTTTTCCAGGTCTTATTTCAAGAAATCTTTTTCCTATCTATACCTTTAAAAATATTTTCACATTTTCTTTGAAAAGTTATGAAATTTTTGTTTCTAAGGCAGTTCTTTAATCCAGCTGTAATTTATTTTTATGAATGGTGTGAGCAGGCAGGAAACTTGTTTCAAATGGACAGCCAATTGTCTCTGCCTGGTGACACCCATTCTGCTCTTAACTCCTAAGGGCAGCTGGCAAAGCCTTCCTCATCCAAAAAAAATGCCTCGAGAAAGAGTTTGATGATTTGATACGTATTAATTCCTTGAAATATGACAAATCATAGCTAGTAAATTTGGCAGAACAGAATATACCAGAATACACTTTGTTAATTTTTCTTAGACCCAAAGAAAAAGACCTGATTCACATTTATCCAACAAAAATAATGAATCCAAACAGATAACAGACTTCCTAGCAAGTGAAAATACTAATCAAGAGCAAAGTGGTCACATGTTTCGACCAGCTTTCTTTAATGAATCATGAAATATCAAGCTTTAAGGGCAATTCATGGGGATATAAAACCAAACTTTTACTTATCACTAAACTTCACAATCTCACAGCTTCCTTCTTCTTTCCAAAGCTTAGTTTTAGAAAAAGGCCATGAGGAAAATGCTTATCTCAATAATTACACTGTTAAGAGAAAAGAAATGGCTCATTTGATACTGCTGCAATCATCTCTAAGCGTCATTCACAGTGACATTAGCACATAAACAAAAATTATTTCACCAATATAAATCCTTATGTAACTACTCTGGAGATTTTTACTAATGTTACATTTACCACAATAATTTACATAATGTAGCTAGTATCAAGCAGCTAAATTTGAATTCTTTGTTCTTGTGAAAAAGGGAAAGAACACCATTTTAGTTAATGATACGTTTCTGAATATGACACTACAAGGCATTCTTCAGGAGGTATATAATATGGACATTGATAATTTACTAAATAAATTCACTGTGATCAATTCTTTTATAAAAATTCACAGGAACTGTTAATGAAAGCATATGTTAATTTAATATTTTTTACCCCTTCCTTCTCCTGCCATTTATTAAAGCCTAACTTATTGAGAATATAATTTTTAACAGTATTTCTTTGCAAATGCAATACTACAACTGCTGTATAATTACCTTTTAGGTTGCAAATTCTCATTTTACATACTTTACAGTATATTTTAAATCCACTTAAAAATGTAAACTCAATGGTCAAGAAAACAAAAAACATATTCTTTGGTTTAAAAAATTCATTAATCATAATAAACCCAATTAGACACAGTATGAGGTTTTCCTCAAAGCCATACAGTAATAATACAAGTGTTGTATTGTTCAAATATTCTCATTGTTATACAGGTTGTCACATTTCACGTTTAATAGGAACTGACTCAAAGAGACCTTGAAACAAAAGTATCCTAACCAAGCAGCAGTTCCCAAAGTGTCATGCTAAAAAAACATTACTCTCCAATTCACACAGTTCAAACAATCAAATCAGAGAACAACCACTTCTTTATTAATAGAACAATACACACTAGTTTCCTCTGTCCAAGTGATGCTACCTAAAAAATATTTAAAGAAAAACTAAACATTCACTGAATGGTATATTTGTGAGTCTACTAATGATTCCAACTTTAGCTGAAAACAAATGAACTCAAAGTCCTTAAATGAATACCTAATATTGACAATTTTTTTCACTAAAAATATAAAACTGAAAATGATTCAACATATAAAGACCAAACCCCACTAGAAAAGAAGTATTGTGGTTAGGTAGGACATTCAATGTCACTGAAACTAAGATGATGGAAATAAAACAGTACCTTCTTAACAAAGATATCACAAATAGCTTTATCCTTCAAAATTATTCGTTCAAGATATAATTTGCTCTCCTACAGGGTCAGATGACAATGCAACCAACTTAACACAATCGAGGCACTGTCTATATATGCACCTTCTGTTTTTAAATCAATAGGAACCACTGACCAGCATAAGCACTATTCCTAATTAGATATTCAGCAATTGTATAAAGTCTGACACTCCCCCCAAATACACATTTGACCATAAAACTAGTTTAATAAATTCACATGACTATAGACCATATTGAACAGGTCTTAATCTTAAAAAGGATCAGAAAATCAGTTATTCCAAATAGCCATTTTACTGCAGATCAGGGATAACCTCTAGTAACTCCCACCACAACCCCAAAAGGGGAAAAATGTTTTATTAAAAGCATGTTTTCTAAGAGAATTCCTGAAGACACACAATATTATGTTCTATCTAATTTTCCAAAATGACTTATTCTTCTTTATTATATAGTATCTAATATATGGAAAGGCTAAAACATATCTATAATTTAGTCTTTCAGGACACTCTAGCAGTCTGTATTCCCCCCCAAAACAATTGGTGTAATAGTTAGAAGGAATAGGAAAACTTACTTCAACTATTCAGAGGATAAGGAAAATGGAAACAATTATTGAGGGCCTATTTGGCAATGGACCCCAAACTAACTTAACATTTCCTTTTTTAGTTGTCACAACAATCCTATAAGATAAGCAATATTATTCTTAATTTACAGATGGGAAAAAAAAACATATCTTAGATATTAAATGATTTCCCCAAGGTTATGAAGATATTAAGTGACAGAGCCAAGACTTAATTTCAAATCTACAGGACTTCAAAATCCAAACTTTCATCTGCACCAAGCTCTCCCCATTAAAAAAAAAGAAGGTGAAATAGGCTATATAGGTTAAACTGAGAAGTTAAATGCTGTGGATGAAGCGGTTTCTCAGGAGATTTATAATTTTAAATTAGTACTTTATAAATTTATTCAGTATGACTCTTTGTTAACTGGGAATGTTAATTTAGGCATCAAAAATCTGTGACAAATATCAAAACAATTTGGAGGAATATAATAATTACCTGTCTCTCTAACGCTGGGTTTG